TGTATGTAATGCATGTAAGGAATGTAATGTATGTAATGTATGTAAGGTATGTAATGTATGTAATGTATGTAATGTATGTAATGTATGTAATGTATGTAATGTATGTAATGTATGTAATGTATGTATGTATGTATGTAATGTATGTAATGTATGTAATGTATGTAATGTAATGTATGTATATGTAATGTATGTAAGGTATATATGTAATGTAATGTATGTAATGTGTGTAATGCATGTAATGTATGTAATGTATGTAATGTATGTAATGTATGTAATGTGTGTAATGTATGGATGTATGTATGTATGTAATGTATGTAATGTATGTAATGTATGTAATGTAATGTAATGTAGTGTAATGTAATGAAACGTAATGTAATGCAATGTAATGTATGTAATGTATGTAATGTATGTAATGTAGGTAATGTAGGTACTGTAGGTAATATAGGTAATGATGTATGCAATCGAGGAAATATAGGTAATGATGTATGTAATGCTTGTAATGTAGGTAATGTAGGTATTGCGTGTACTGTATGTAATGTATGTAATGTACGTAATGTATGTAATGTATGTAATGTATGTATTGTATGTAATGTATGTAATGTATGTAATGAAAGTAATGTATGTTATGTTCTGTCATGTTGTGTTAAGTTATGTTCGTATGTATGTATGTATGCATGTATTGATGTATGTATGTATGTATGTATGTATGCATGTATGTAATGTATGTAATGTATGTAAAGTATGTAATGTATGCAATGTATGCAATGTATGCAATGTATGCAATGTATGTAATGTTTGGAATTCTTTGTAATGAATGTAATGCATGTAATGCATGTAATGCATGTAGTGCATGTAATGTATGTAATGTATGTAATGTATGTAACGTATGTACAAAATGAATGAAACATATGTATGTAATGCATGTAATGTATGTATGTATGTTTGTATGTATGTATGTTTGTATGTATGCATGCATGCATGTATGCCTGTCTGTCAGTCTGTCTGTCTGTCTGTAATGTATGTATGTAGGTAGGTAGGTAGGTATGTATGTATGTAATGTATGTAATGTAATGTAATGTAATGGTAATGGTCATGGTAATGGTAATGGTAATGGTAATGGTAATGGTAATGTATGTATGTATGTATGTATGTAATGTATGACATGTTGGTATGTAATGTTGTAATGTCATGTAATGTAATGTAAAGTTTGTAATGTTTGTAATGTATGTAATGTATGTAATGTATGTAATGTATGTAATGTATGTAATGAAGGTAACATATGTATGTAATGTATGTATGTATGCATGCATGCATGTATGTCCGAATGTAGGTATGTAGGTATGTATGTATGTATGTATGCATGTATGTATGTATGCATGCATGTATGTATGTATGTATGTTGTGCATGTAATGCATGTAATGTATGTAATGTATGTAATGTATGTAATGTATGTAATGTATGTAATGTATGTAATGTATGTAATGTATGTAATGTATGTAATGTACTGTAGTGTATGTAATGTATGTAATGTTTGTAATGTATGTAACGTAACTTAATGTGATGTAATGTAATGTAATGTAATAAAATGCAGTGTAATGTAAAGTTTGTAATGTATGTAATGTAGGTAATGTATGTAATGTATGTAATGTATGTAATGTAATGTAATGTAACGTAATGTAATGTAATGGATGTAATGTTTGTAATGTATGTAATGTAACGTAATGTGATGTAATGTGATGTAATGTAATGTAATATAATGTAATGTAATGTAAAGTATGTAATGTATGTATTGTAGGTAATATATGTAATGTAATGTATGTAATGTGTGTAATGCATGTAATGTATGTAATGTATGTAATGTATGTAATGTATATAATGTGTGTAATGTATGTATGTATGTATGTACTGTAATGTAATGTATGTAATGTATGTAATGCATGTAATGCATGTAATGTATGTAACTATGCAATGCACGTAATGCATGTAATGTATGTAGTGTATGTAACGTAGGTAAGGTATGTATGTATGTAGGTAGGTAGGTAGGCATGTATGTATGTATGTAAGTAATGTAAGTAATGTATGTAATGTATGTATGTATGTATGTATGTATGTATGTATGTATGTATGTATGTATGTATGTATGTATGTATGTATGTATGTATGTATGTATGTATGTATGTATGTATGTATGTAGTATGTATGTATGTATGTATGTATGTATGTATGTATGTATGTATGTATGTATGTATGTATGTATGTATGTATGTATGTATGTATGTATGTATGTATGTATGTATGTATGTATGTATGTATGTAGTGTATGTAGTGTATGTAGTGTATGTAATGTATGTAATCTATGTAATGTATGTAATGTATGTAATGTATGTAATGAATGTAATGTATGTAATGTAATGTAATGTGATGTGCTGTAATTCAATTTAATGTAATGTAATGTGATGTGATGTTTGTAGCGTATGTAACGTATGTAATATATGTAAT